TGATCTTGAAGATAATATTTTGAACATTAAAGGTGATCATTGTCATCTACCTGAACCAGAAGAAATTCAAATTCGAGTGTTCAAACAAGTTGTTAAAGCACGTGCTATAAGTGAAAGTACACCTATTCCACAAATTTATGATGAGGAAGCAGCCCGAATCAATTTATCAACATTAGCAATTGCTGCTTTACCATCTCAGGGAGAACTTGGTTTGTAAACGCTTTATTTTCATTCGCTTAAAGAATCTGTTTTTCAGGTAGTACATTAAATAAAGCACGTCGTCTTCAAACACCATCATTTCCTAATTCTCAGCTGTCTGATATATCTCAGTCTTACACTAAAACTTTGAAAAATTTACCTTTTCTTTGTATCGATCAGATTATTAAAAAAAACTCGAATACTAGTATTTGCATCAGAAGAACAACTAAAATTATTGTTCAATAGTTCCATCACCTTGATAGATGGTACTTTCTCATCATCACCTTCGATTTTCGATCAAGTATATTGCATACATGCAATTAAATTTGAACAATGTGAATAAGAATTTTTTTTCCTAAATAAACTTTTAAATACTAGTGTATTTTGCAGCGTTTGTGTGTGTTTTTGCTCTGTTGCCTGATCGAAAAAAACCTACATATAAATATTTATTTCATGAATTACGTAATAAAGCTGCTCAATTAAATATGAATTTTAATCCATATACTATTATGTCAGATTTTGAAGGAACAGTAGCTGAAATACTTAAAATTGAAGTACGTACTACTTTATCTTAATTTGAACAAATGCTATTGTGTTGTTTTTCTAGTTTCCTAATAATCAACATGTCGGCTGTTTCTTTCACTATACACAGTCTATATATAGAAATATCCAACAACTTGGATTATCTTCTCAATATGCTGCTGATGATGAAATTAGAAATACTTGTCGAAAACTTATAGCACTTGCTTTAATGCCTATTTCATTAGTTCTACAAGCATATGATGATCTTCATGATTCAGTTCTTGAATCATCATCAACAACATTTGATTCCGTTAAACCTCTTTTTAGTTATTTTGAGAACCAATGGATAAAAAATGCAGATATTCAAAGATGGAATGTTTATGGATTACATATGAGAACGAATAACAACGCCGAAAGTTTGAAATATTAAATAGTATTCATATATTGATGTTTTTCATACGCT